CAGGACTTCAGTTTCAATAGAAAAATGCTCATTTCCAATGAAACCGTTTTTTAAATTTTAATTTGCATTTAATTTTCTTGATCTATGGTATCTAAATCCATGTGACTTTTGGCCCTACCAGGTTTATTTTTGTAAGAGCTCATCTTGTTTGAGCTGTAACTGAATACCAAAGGGTAGTTGATAAAAATTTTAGGTATTTCTTAGTGTGATCAAACATTTCTGTAAAAGAAAGAAACCGAATTTCTTTTCAGGTTTTGAATTAAAAGTAAAATTGATTTTATCACTGTTTGACCTCTAACTGGTCTCTTCATTTTTATTTCATTAGTTTCAGTGTGAAATTAATGTAGAAAAATGAACTTGCAAAGCACGGCTCTTTTGGATTGGAGCTAGAGAACCTGAGCCTTTGAATTCTTACCAAATAGAAATTGAGATTCTTAACTTTTAGGGAAACTTAGCTTCAATTATTCTCTCAAATATTGATCACAGCTGGAAATTAACTTGGTTGGTCATGTAACTATTCTTGAAGAGAGGTTTGGGTCAACATTTTGTTCAAGTGGAAAATAGAGGAGTTCCGTTAGTCCCCCCTGGTGGAAAGGGTATGTTTTCTTTTTTTTCTTATTCCACCTCCGCCATTTCCTCCTCGCCTCCTTTCTCCCCTTTCGTGTGTGTGTGTGTGTGTGTGTGTGTGTGTGTGTGTAGGGGAGAAAGGAAGGCACCTTCCCTTTCCCTGTACTTAGTAAACATTTGTTTCCGAGACGACACTACTTGCTAGCAGAAATGAACGGCCTGGAAGTTACTGCTTAATCTGACGCTCTTACACAATTAAAGGATTTGCTCTGCCCTCCACTGTAATCTTAGTACTGCTGAATTGTGTACTGACGCTGCAGGAAACAGCTCGGCTGGGCAAAGCCTGATGACAATGGTTCTCCTTGTGCGCCTGTACATGGGCCATTAAGTTTCAACAACAAAATTAGCAGAACAACTGGATGTTCTGGAAGTTGAGATCCCCTCACTTAGTCTTTTTTCCTACCCCCCAAGGAGTTATCCTGTGGCTCGCCCGGAAGATCTGCCTGTCAGTTTAGTCTTACAAGTGTTTGGAGTTTCTGTACAGACAGCAGCTTCCTCCCACATTAATTGTGGAGGCTGTGTTACACCTCAGGTTAAAATTCTGTTGAGTAAATCTCAAAATGACTGTAAAAACGCTGCTGAGTAATTTCTCAGTTCTCTCAAAGAATTAATTGCCTTCGAACATTTGCCTCCAGTTGCAAAGACCTGTGATTTGCAGCCTAAAGTACAGCACTTCGCCTAGAGAGCCGAATTGCTTTTGGTGCTTTGCAGTCTTTTTTAAAAAAACATCTTCCAGGACTCTGCAGTATCTGTGTTTCCTTTTATTTGTGTATAGTGGACTAGAGGGGAGATTTTTTTTCTTAATTCATTCAAATAGAAGTAGCCGACAACACCTTAACTGCAATTTCAGACTTAAGGATAAATTGACCAAACTTCTGAAATCTCATAAACACATTTCTTTGAAATATACTTTGTCATAACTATATGAAAAAGAGCACACTGAATTCTGTGTGACTTCCCATCTTAAAAGAGCGTTTAAAGTGTATAATATAGTACATGTAAAGAAAAACTTTTACAAATTTAAACACATTGTTTGGAAAACTTAGAATGAAAATGTTGAGCATTTTGTGCATGGCAGCTTTCGTGAGGAGCCAGTGTTATACGAATAGGGTGAATTTTGTGGCAGACTTTATGTCTCTTAAACTATTTCTTTTAAATAACATTCACTTTTAATAATTGGGATTGGAATGGATTTTCCACGGTGACTTAAAGTCGTGCACAATTACAGAAAGCTTTAAAAGTAGCCCCCAAAAGTATCGCGTACTTTCAGAATCTTTGAGCTAAAATCAGCCTTAGTTCACGCTGTGTCAGTGTTGAGTTTGCTTGTGAGCACGGTCCAGATTCCCGAGCCTCTGTGGGCCAGTGTATTTTGGAATCTGTAAATGTCCACAGTCCAGCTTACACTAGAAGAATAAAAGAGCTGGATGAGGCTTCATAGCGTGCCCGTGGTCAGCGAGGTAACCCTTGTCCAGCGATGCCTGTGCTGCAGCTACTCCACTAAAGGAAATGTGGCTGAGTGTGGACACGGAGGCCCGTGCCCAGCCATTGTCACCTCTGTTAGAAAGGGAGTCTCCTTAGCCTTGAAGGCAAATCAGCGCCTAGAGGCCGATGTCAGATTTTCGACCATGGCGATGTTATGTTGTTTCACAACGTTATTTTTTTCTTCATAATTTAAAATGGTATCTATTTTTCCCTCAACGAGAAGCTGACCCAAATTGACAGACTAGTCTTTGAGCTAAAATGGAGTTTTAAAGAGTACACAAACCAAAAGAAATGAGCTTTGTTCTACCTTTAGTATAGTGAAAAATATCAGAATCGGTAATAATAGAGGAAGTGTTATTTTATGTTTGAAACTGTACTTTTGGAAATTTTGGGACAAGTGTATTAAAATCTCCTGAAACATAGGGTGTCTGAGAGAAACCATAAAAACTACGTCTGCTGTAATGCCACTAGTGTAATACTACTCGCTGCTGTAGTAACCGTATAAAGGGCTTGGGGAAAAAAACAACAAAAAAAGTAAGACTTCTTATTTTACACAAGGGAAAATATAAAACTGACTTCCTCTTTGGAGTTTTCCCAGGAAACTACTTTATAAAGACAAATATAAATCTTTCCGTTTTCTGTCCTTGAAGGTGGTAAATATGATTGCAGCTTTATCCATTTTATTGTAAATGAAACAGAGTTCAGACCGTCCGGCTGTGCGTCATTTGTTGGATGGCTGCCACAGACTAATGCAGGCGTCCCACTGTGAGACCAGAGAAGAACTATATTTTGATTCACCAGATTGTGTTAAATAGTCCAGCTGTTGCGATTTGAAAGATAGTTACCTCAGAAGTGAAATAGAAATGAACTTGGCATTTATGCCTCAAACCATTTTTATACTGTTTGGCAATCAGCTTTTCAGAGGTAGCATTTTATAAAATAACTCTTACGGCTTAAAAGTTTCATTCACTGTAATATTCAAAATGTCCCACCTTTATATTATCAGTAAAATTAAGCTTGAGTGATATGCAGGATTTGCATGAAATAAGCATTTCCTCCCTTCATTTCGTGAGCTTTGATTGTATTCAATTGAGCTCAGAACCATGTCTATTAGGGCTCTTTGGGGCATTAGTTAATTGGAATTGCAGCCGAAATGTTAGCTAGAATGTTGTGGAATATAATTGGAACGTGGAAAGTTGATTTTTGAAAGGAATTTCATTGAATGCAAACAATGATGTGCTTTTTAAAAATTAGAATGCTACGCTTTCATCTCCCGTAACACAGTCTGAGAAACCACTGAGTTCTTTCTAAAGTTCAGCTTTGGTAATACTGTGTGCAGTGTTTTGATTCTTGTGGGACCAGAACAGTTTGGAGTCTTTCCTTTTACCAGCAAGTGGCCCCACCAATCCAAGCCCCACACTCCGGCTCTCTTGCAGTTGGGGAAAATTAGCTGCTTCCTAAAAGGGCACCCAAGTTGTGCTTGGGTGTCAGGCTTCATAGAGTGACATAGGTTGGTATTTTGCCTCCTGGCTTTCGTTTAGCTTTTTGGTTTTTCTTTTTGTCTTGAAATAGCTCTTGAGAAAACAATCTAAAATGACCCGTGAAAATATCTCTCTGAATGGATCATAAATGGCTACCAGTATGGTGTGGTCAGAAAAAGAATACTGGATGGGAAATCAAGACCCTCCAGTTTTAGTCCTGTATCTGCTGTGTACAAGTGTGTGCCCTTGGACAAAGCATTTCACTCGCTATTCTTTGGTGTTTACATCTGACAAATGAAAAGGGATCATAGATCCCTGTCAACCTGAATATCCCATGATTTTAGTTTTACCTGATCTCACCTGTAAAATGTAAGTTTTACTTGGAGATTTTGCAGCATATCAGGAGAATGTCTGCCACACTTTTCTCAAGTACTGAATTTTAATTCCTTATTTGTGGTCATTGCCCTTAGATGAAGAATGGAAGCAGAAAACGTGAACAGAATAATAGTACACTGCAGGTCCTGTTGGGCTGCTGCATTTGAATGCCTGGGATTTTTACCTTGGGGAAGAAACTTGTAGAACCTGCCACCACAGGTGCCTAGAGCAAGAGCCTAGGCTCTTGGCACCATCACTGATGGGGTTCTCTGGCTCTTCCCATAAGATGGGAATGGAGCTGGAATGAGACCTAGAAGTCCCCTGATTCCAGAAGGAGCCCTGGGCAGCTCCCCAAGGGAACCAGGAATGAACCGAATGATCTCAGGGGGAGCTACAAGTCACAAAGGAAAAAGAAATCAAGGATAGCTTGAAGGGTTGGCCTTTTATATTTACACATCTGAAAGATGCAGCCGAAAACGGATTCAGAAAGAAGTCAGACAACATGCCAGAATTAGCCGGTAGCATCGTTACGGTTCAGGAGAAGATGCCTTTGGTAAAATAGCTCCGTGCTGTGGAAGCAGGACTGTGGAGCTAAGAACTCCTGGTTCTTGTCCTGGGCCTGCACCTGATGCGCTGTGTAATTTTGGGCCAGGCTGTTCCCCTCTCCAGATGTCACTTACCTCTTCAGTAGGAGGACAGATTGGACTAGATGCTTGCCATAGTCCCATTTTGCCTTTAACCCATTTGGATTCCAAGTCAGGGGTCATTAACCTTGAGAAACGTGTTACTCTGACTCTCAATGCGTAGATGCAGAGAAATTGCCCACGGTGCCAAGTTTAGTGATAATCAACAAAGGAGTTCTCAAATTGTAGCCTGCAGGTGACTTAATAATAGATTAATCTGCAGTTGAGAGGCTCACTTCAAGAAAGAGGAACAAGTCTTTGCACTGAGACAATTCCAGGACAATTTCAGCCTGACAATACAAGGTTTCTGAGTTTTCAGTTCAATCAACACCCATTTGTTGCTGTTGGGCAGCCCTGAGAGCACTTCCTGGGAAGTATTCAGCCTCCAGCTGATGAAGAAAGCTTTTGTAGGATGTGTCACCACCCCTTCACCTGCAGACACACACGGTCATGAAAACATCCATGCTAGATCAAGGTCAGTATGGGTCGATGGACTTTCTTCACCTAGAATGAGATGAAAACTCCTTTGCATGTGCTTAGAGCAGATTGGCTGGCTTACAGAACGGTGGGCTCAGACCTAAGATACTGGAGCCAGACTGGCGACTTGACATATAGGCTTCGCTGTGGCTTCGACTGTAACAACCTAGCTTGGCTGGAACTTCATTTCATAGAACCTCCTTGCCCATTTGCTCCCGGATTCAGGTTGACACCAAGAGAAATTTGCATGAGATTTAGAAGACAGAAGTGACGCTCTGAAGGTCCCAGTAGGGCAGGCGCTGTTAACAATTCATGCCCATTATCCCCTAATTGGCACGTGCCAGCAGCTGGCCCACTGTTTCTCTAGCTTCCCATCTTCTCCTCCAGCTTCTCCAAATCCTGGACCAGGTGCATCTGCCGTTCCACGTGGAAAGGCCTCCCCAGCTTATCCAGCGGGTCATCTGCATCATCTGGATTGGAGATTGTGAGAGACAGCCGCAGCGCTGGTTTGCCCTCAGTCCCTTGTCACTTTTCATCCATCCTCCTTTTCAGCTGCCAGAACTGCTGACTTGAGGCCCAGCGTCAGACTTAGAGGCCACAGACCTACATGGACTGCCTAACCAGCTCCCTCCGTTGCCCATGGTCTGATCCTGTAATAAATCCCTGATACCACGCATGGTAGTTCTGCTTCTCTGACCATGCCCTAGCAGATACAGCCTTTCAGGCGTTGCTTGGGTCAGAGAAAGCCAAACCGGGGATCACTGGGAAAACTACAGCCCATTCTGATTCCCAAAGTCTAGTAACAGACACCCTGACAAGTGGGTCCTCGGCGAAGGTAGATGAAGAGTGTCTTGATGTTTTCTAATGACAAGGACGTTGCCAAATCGAGGCAGATATGGAGGAATCTGCCCTCGCTACAGCATAGCTTTCCTCTGAGGCTCGTGGGCATCTCTGCTTTGAGCACCTCCAAGGAAGGCAGAGTTCTGTGTTAGTCACTTAATGATGATGAGCACGTCACAGCTGGTATAGCCGGATAACCAGATGGAGGGCTTTTTAAGTGTTTGGATAAACTCCATAGCAATGGTCAGAAAAGACAAAAACTGGTCATTGGCTTTAAGGGTTTTTGTACCTGTGGCTGGACCATGCAGGCTGCTTTCTCTCAAGAGTGGATCGTTTTTGTTGTTTTTGTTGGGTAGGAGAGACCTCCAGACCTACTCACACCAAAGCCTTGGTTTCTGACCATTCATTCTGCGCCTTTCACACAGTTCATTTGTATCTGCTCATTTGTTTAGTCTACAAATGGGTCTGTGCTAGGTGCTAGCTAGGATGTAACTGTGAGCAAAGCTGAACAGTCTGTTTCATGTAAACTGCTTACGTTTTATTTGGAGAGATAGACATTAAACAGCTGATTGCACAATACTTATAACTGTGGTAAGCCCAACCAGGGAGAGGTTTTGAGTGGTAAGAGAATGCCTCCCCAGCAGATCTGACCTGCTCCTGGACTCAGGGGGTCGTGGAAATCAGCTCCTGGTGAGGGGCTGGCAGAGCAGTGGGCACAGCCTGGCCAGCAGTTCACCAGTCCATGTCCTGACAGCCGGAGGTGGGACAGGGTATGCTGTTTCATGGTTAACATCCTATCGTTTGCCAAGAAGACCAGCTAAGTCTGAGTAGCCCCTGCCTTGTCCACCACATACCCCTCAACCTTCAGGCACCAGGCCAGCCGCCCAAGGCCTTCAGATGGTGGCTTCTGGCCTTGACTTGTGAGAGAGAACGGGGTGGTGTCCCCTGCCTGATTTCCTGACATGTGGCAAGAGTAGAGTGTTTCTGGACACCTCTTTCCATAAGGAAATTGTCACCCGCTCAGCTTGAAAAGCAGTAGCTTCTTGCATCAGAAGAGAAAAGAGGAAATCTCTGTGGAAAAAAGAAGTTGTTTCTGAAATTCAGTAAGAAATTTCCCAAGAAACACAATTCTTCATTTTAGAAAAAGTTTATGGTGACTTAGCGTTTTAGCTTATTCCCTGGGTTCTCCAACTGCCCGTGTCCCCCCCTTGCCCTCCCCCAGGTCTGAGCAGATTCCTCCTTGTCAGTAATGGCAGCAGCTGACACGTCTGTCAGGTTTCCATCAGTGCTGGGGTGATTTACCTCCCTCATCCCTGCAGTCTCCTCAGAGCTAATCTGCAACCAGATGTCCCCAGGGGCATATGGGGGAGGGTTAGCTGGCTCCTCCCAGCTACGTGAGAGCTGGACAGGCGGTGGGCGGTATGCACGTGTCCATAAGCTTTGCGCTTCCTGAGACGAGCATGTAATTAAGCAGGTAGGTGCATTTGGCTTTTTAACATTTCTCTAGTTAATTGCTCAGACTTTTGCTGCCTTCTTTCTTCTGGTCTTGTGTTCTTCATATGTAATCTAATATCTCTTTTTTTTCTAATGGCTGGCATCTCAAAGACCATTTTGTGCATGTTGATTAGATTTAGAACATTCTGGGGTTTTTTTGATCGTCTGAATCCAGGATTATGAAAGACAAATATTTTCTCTCTCTGATTTATTATTATGATTATTATTATTATTATTATTATTATTATTATTTAACTGTTCCTTCCCTAGGCCTCCCAGTAACCCAAGATGGAGGAGCCGGTATGTTGGCAGTGAAAAGCACGCTGAACCAGTCGTAGTTTTAGATCCTGTTTCCACACATGAACCCCAAACCAAAGACCAGGTTGCTGAAAAAGGTCCAACTCAACACAAGGAAGACGAAGGCAAAATTAAACCAGAAAACAAAGAAGACAGTATTGAGAAAAGAGACACAGACAGCTCCAACTGCTGACCCATAAGCCAGAAGGTGGACACGTGTAGAAATCCCTGTCAGTAAGCACATGATTCCTTTTGGTGTATTGGCAAGGGCTACAGACATTCCACTCTTGTCGCCGTGTTCAGATTACAGTCTCTTTTCTGGTGTTGTTTTTGTAATAAGTAGTTCACCTATAAACATAAGTAAGCTGTTGAGCAAAATACATTCAATATAGTGTTGTTTTTTTATCTTTATAGGATAAGATTTTTTTCTAATTACTGTATGACGTGTGACTTCTTTTAGAAAGCTACAAAAAAGTCAGATGTTGATGTCTTTTTTAGGTCATGTGCATACCACTATTCAAATGCAATGCTGAATGTTGACAGCGCTGTGGGTAATTGGATAGACAGACCTGACCAACTTAAGGTGATTTAAAAAGCCCCCAAATAAGCTGCTTTTTTTTTTTTTTTTGCATCTGAGCCTCTGTTGATGGAGAGACTGTAGTAGCATGGAAATTGTGAGGCACCATGGCATACACATTCCTTCCTAGGATATACTGAGATAAACTTAAAATTCAGGAGCTGGAGGCATCAAACTGGTAGTCGCATAGTCAATGTTAATTACACACACTGTTAACTGTGGGATGAAAAATACATGCTATCGATCATGTCCAAAGCCTCCCAAGGACTTGGGTAGAAATGCTCCAGTGGCCTCAATGCAGAATTGAGGTGAAAGTGCAGCCCTTGAGTTAAATAGAGTATTGGTAAACCATGTGCTCTGTGCTCTGAGTTAATTGTGTTTTCTCATGTAGTAATGTGGCACAAGTACCATATTTTATCACAGTTCTTATGTACTGTGAAGATCAGCGACAAGCACACAATTTTATTACTTCACTACTGTTCTATGTTACACAGGTTTTTTTTGTTTCTTTTTTAAAAGAAATTAAGTGGTAGTCAGTCTCTAGAAATACAATGTTTCAGCCTACCACAGTGAATAAATAGAGATGTAATCAGGGATTTTTTTAAAAAGCTTATGCAGCTTTTCAAAGTTGATTGTTTCAAAATTGGTGTTTATTTAAAATAAGTGGTAATGTACTTGAATACTTTTTTTTTATGACAATGATTCAGTAATGATAATTTTACTATTAAAGAAAGTGAAAGGTTTGGTTTTGTTAGCATGGCTCAGCATGTAGTTGTCAGGTGTTTCTTACCTAAGGGCAAAAGGAAATGATAGTAATAATTGCAGTATTTGTATTGTATTTTATTTTTGCACGTATGCTAAGCATAGGCCTGAAGAGGTGGGTAGGCAGGTAAACGTACTTCCTATATTTGGAGATAATTATCTTTCTGTAGGTTTGTTGTGCTTGACTGTTTCCATGTCCTTCCAGTGATGATTTTACAGTTCCTTCTCAGTTTACTCCTGGGGAATGAAAATGTAATGTTTTTCAACTGTAATCTTCCCTAATTGAATAATACTGCTATATGATATACAAACTACAAACTGCATTAATTCACTTAAGTTCTGTTATGCTGTGATTTGAACTCTCTTCACCACACTTATTAAAAAGCACCCAGTTTCCCATTAAAGGTCAGTTGTGGTTATTTTTGGTTTAGCTGCTCCAACTTGACATCCTTGAATAAGAAAATGATGTGAGTTGATATCTTCAGTAACTTTTAATAATTCATAAAACGGCTTATTTTGAGGAATTTTATTCCACGTTCTCTCTCATCAGTCTGCGGGTGTGTGTCGTACACATTTAGGAATATGAAGATAGTTTTAGTCCAAGTCTTACCACACACATCAACAGAATATTGCGGTTATAAAAGCACCCTCATTTCCAGGTAAGAAGTGAACCATTTGGTGAGATGTGTTAGCCAGGCCAAGCGACAGTTAGCACCTGGTATTTTAGAAGTGCGCTTGCTTTTCCTAAGTGGCTGACTTTCCTTCACCACGATCAGAAAATATTTAAAGTTAATTTGATAGAAAGGTAGTTGATGTAGGATCTTATCTTTTTCTGTGTACAATTTTTCCCTTTCACATCAGTTTTTAGGAAGTTTTGCCCCTGCTGGAGTACCATTGTCTGCAAGCCGTTGGTCTGGGATGGGGAGACACAGGAGGACTAGAGTGTGTATCTTCAAGGTACATTCTCAGCTATTTGCACAAAAAAATTATAGACACCCTACTTATACTACCGGGGGTGCCAAGAAAATGTATACACATTTTAAGAGATGTTATCTATGCTCAAGCAGGAGTTCGTCGTAATCAGAAGTGTCTGGACGCTGACGGGAACCACTTTGAGCACCTCTTGTAATTGCAGAAGTCAAATGTGACTTGTATTCATCTTTTGTTATCGGTATATATTGAGTATTACAATTTTAATACAGTTTTCCTTTCTTAAAATGTGTATACATTTCTTTGGCAACATCGGTATTTTAAAGTTGCAAGAGACTGCCATATTTATCTTTTTGTTTTCTCTAAAAAATTTTTCCTTCTGTTTTGGAAATATGAATTATGTCTCATCTGCTACAGAGTTTTTAACTCTTGTTGATGCATTTTTATAGCCAGAGTGAGGAAATGGGTGTGTATATGTGTTCTTGTTAGTAAAAAACAGAAAAGAAAATGCCTCCCTTCTTCTGAAAGAATAGGAATTGAACCAAAATTCCAGCACCGTTTTGTAGCTGAGCTAGTCTCACACTGTCATCCATGGAAGTTTCAGTGGCTCATCAGTCCTGTGGAAATTCTGACTGGCAGGGGTCAGCTGGGCTGTAACTACCCAGCCTCCTTGGTCTGAGGGAAATAGATGGACGTTTTGGCTCTGGCTACTCACCAGTAATTCCTCCTTCACAGTAAAACGTTTGTTGGAAAGGGAGTAGTACAGGTAAAAATCATAGTTAATTATTTTTCCAGACCATTTTTTGGTTGTTTGTCAGATAAATGATAGTCCGTATCACAGAATCTTAACAAAGGTTGGGATGGGTTTTTTTGTTTGTTTGTTTTAATTGGGGAATTGGGGGATAGGAACAGCACTGGGGAATTGGGGGAAGGGGAACAGACAAGATATTGTTGTTTTGTTCTTCAGTCTAGTTGTGGAGGACGTTGCTTCACTGGCCCAAGTTGGCACCATCATTGCGCTCTTCCTGGGCAAGGCAGATCAGTCGCCGGCTTCTGGACGGCCGCTCACTGCGGCTGCTGGCCGCTCACGCTGGCTACTGGCTACACATGGTAGCCCATGGCAGCCCACTGCAGCAGGGGTTGCAGCCTACTCCGTCGCTGGCGACTCACGGCAGCCCAGCTCCAGGTTGAGCTGTAGTTCAGCATCTTAGCTGTAGAGGGCAGTGTCACGGGCCCTCATATGTGGGATCCGAACCGGGGCCCTCTGGCGTCCCAAGCCAGCTCTCAACCAATGCGCCACTCGGCTGGTTTTTTTAAATGCACACTATATGCGTTTAGCCACTTTCGTCATGGAACAGTTTAGGTGGTAAGACAATAAGTAGTGGAGCATGGCTAGCCATCTGTCATCATCGCCACCCTCTGAAGGATCATCAAGTAGTCCTGACTTAAGGATTGAAGTTTCTTCCAAGCGCTAACATTTCCCAATCCCACTGGCATTTCTGAACATGGGAGATGACTGGTTTCTTTCATCTCTTTTACAGATAATATCTTACATATTAATACACAACGTTTTATATCTGTTGTTATATGTTATAAACAAATGTAGACACAGAGAGAAAATAGAAACAGTGCTTATCGCTTTAAGAAATCAGAATTAAAGTACTGCCTACCTATTGGTGATTGCAGTCCTTAAGTGAGACGTAAAGGTGAATTAGGCTGGGCTCTGTTGAAATTAAAGTCCTGGTCTGGCGGAGGTAATAAATCACCTCTTTGGTTAATTTAATTTTTTAGCCGTGAACTTAGTTGCGCATGTCTGCCCCGGCTCCGCGCATGTAATTTGTAGCACAGTTCTAGGGCTTGCTCACACACAACCGCCCACCCTTCTTGTACCTCTGCAGAGACTGCCTGAACACCCAGTCATGTTCCTCCTCCTTGACAATGCAATTCCCTGCCAGCTTCTCATGCCCCATTGTTTGTTCTAAGCGTCAGGAGAGGCAGTAGCAACCAGAAAGTGGACACTGTTCTCCCAATTGAGAGAGACACCAACCAGTTCTGCCTCTGAGCCCATGTAAGTCATTGCTTCAAGAGTAAGGCCTTGGTTCCACCATAAAGCTCCCCTAGTCAGCACTCTTCAAAAGGAAGGTCCTCGGGTTGTTTGGCAAAAACTTAAGAGAATATACCAGAAATCTAAACTTAGCTAACTCTCAGTAGATAGCAATTTATGTAATTTTTGGGAAAAGCAAATAACTTGTAACAGAGAATCTGAATCAGACAAAGCAGTTGGGCATTATTATATCTATAGGTATATGTTCCAGTAAGTTTCTTTCTGTCCCCTCTGCTGTAACACCCGTACTGCCTTACAAAAGAGGCTATTCAGTCAGCCTGTATGTTGCATTGTTTTTAATCATCTGTTCAGTGCTCTCGTATAAATAATTGGGCACTTCATTACCTTAAGAATATTTATTCACTTGCTGACATGTTCATGTATACTCATTCTTGTTCCAAAAAGGGTTGAAGGAAACCCACAAGGACATAAATCATGTAAGAAAAAACTTAAATTTAGACAGAAGAGGGAATAAGGGAAGAGACATTTAAGGTTAGGAAAATAAGAGAGCTGTTTGGCTGTTAGGAAAACTGTGAAACTCGTCTACTTCTGCGTGAAATTGGCCAAAAAAAGAAAAAACGTGTCCGTGCTTTCTAGCACAGGTGTGTAAGAGAAACACGGAAGATGTGCACCTGTTCCTGGCACAGAGCGCTTCTAGTGTAAAAGAGTTTTGTTTTCAGAGATGTTTTGATTTGTAAAGTATGAGGTGTTTGAACTGAGTTGGCAACGGAAGTGCTGGACTCTTTGACTAGGTTGTGCCTCCTCCCCAGAGTGGACAGGGGAGCTTGTTGACACACAGCATCTCCATGGATATGTGACAGCTGTCAGACAGCGTTCACAGCGATAACTTCAGGCAGGAATACTACATACATGTAATTTACCAAACAGTAACATGAAAAGACGAAAAGGCGCACACGTTCGTGAAGTCTGAGAGCAAAACCAAGATGAGGACATACTTGGGACACAGCACTCTGACAACACTGACGGTGCCGCTGTCAATGGGTGCGTGCAGCCCTGTCCAGAGGGGCTCATGTTCTGGCGGATTCCTCTACAACCTCTGTGGGGAAGATGCACCGCACGGGCCCACGCCGCTCACCAGACACCTCAGCTGTGGCCTCGCGAGCCTCGACTGCCTTGTTGTCTTCCCCATTCAGGTAAAGAAATACGTACTCTTCGTTGAAGCCTATTAAAAAACAACAACAATAAAGTTGACTGTATAATCAACGGTGCCAATTTTGATGTTATTTGTTACATGATTTAAAGGCAGTCATCTTCAGAACTGTCCAGAGCTGTCACATCACCATTAGAAAGGACTCTAAAACCATTTAAAACGGGGCCTGTTTGAGTTATACATTAACTCTGTAAAACACCTGTATTTTTCAGTTTGCTTTGTGCCCTTATACAAACTTCGGGAACATCTGATATGCAGCGGACTTTGGGCAGTGGCTAGGCAGAAAAGGAAAAGAGGAAGAAGATAGGTTAGAGGAAAGGCCAGTACTCTACATGATACAAACCATTGCCAACTATCTATTCCAGTAAATGACTGCAGACCGACTATTCCAGTCAGGTCCGTGTAGGCAGTGATGGGGTTCTATTGGCTGAGCTTTTGCCAAGATTTCCTACTCAGCCTCTTGGTGGAGTGATTTGTTTTCCCAGTTTTTGGTCCCCTGAACTCTTATTGACAACTGTCAGTGTCCGAGTTTCTCATTAATCTGTTAATCCATTCCGGAATGCCCAGGGGCCTGCACTGTCACCAGGGAGGGGCCGGGCCTTCGGTCACTCAGTCCTTTTTGATGCCCTGAAGCAGCTGTTTCCCTTGTGGCGAAGTCTGGCTTGACATGTGACAGGTCATTAAGCCCAAGGCTTACACAAGTCAGAATGACATATGAAAGTAATCATGTGCAGGAAGAATATAATTTTACCTATTTGAAGACACAAACCCTTGTGTAACACACTGAACCATGCAAATTCACATTTGGCTGCTTCTAAAAATCATTCCTTATGTTACACAAGACAAATTTATAATCACAATTTTTATTGGTTTCCTTATTTTTCCTTTTTTAAATGCATATACTGAGACATGAAGTAGGACTGCTTCTTTGCTTTCATATCCCATAATTGGTATGCTTCACAGTACAGTCTATAATATATCTCACTGAATAGATTTTATTTGTAGCATCCAAGAAAATGTCTTATTTTAATGGTCAGCACTACTTAAATAATATGTACTGTTTTTCAGTATATCAGTTCATTTATTCTATCTTAAAATACAAAATTGTTTTACAATAACAAAGAAGAAAACTACTGGTCCCTTTAAATGTCTGCATGCTATATACCTACTTTTGGCCATCACTTTCATAGAAAAGAAAGACACCTATTTGGGGTGTTTCTCTCCAGTTAGCCAGTCCACAGGGTGCTTCTACCCATGCAGATTTATAGAAGTTTAATGTCATAAGTGATTGGTTCATTTCTCTATAGACCACAGCCTTCCCAAAGTACAACATTAAAATTAACATGCTGCCTCCTTAACTAAAAGGAGCTGTTTCCAAGATCTGTCAGGAAAACATCTGTCTTGAACTTTCCTGGGCTGTGCAGAGAGACGGTAACTCGAATTTGGACCATGACAAAAGGCAGGGTCGGAGATGCCAATCAATCAATTCTATTGAAAAGCATCACGCAGCCTGTTCATCAAGAAGAACAGGGAGGGTTTTAAACATTCAGGTAAATAGATAATCTATTAAGAAAACAATGTCTATTGTGGCGAGTGCCATCCTGGTTTTGTCAGCACTTATTTGTAGTCTTTGGATTCCCCTGCCCTCCTGCCGAGGGATTTCTATTCCCCCTCTTCCAATCTTTGTTCTCTTATTCATGGCTAAGTGAAAACAAAGCGAGAAAGCAGAGCATACCCAGTGTTCCATTCTGGACGAGTTCTTCCTCTATAGTAAATAGGCGGTTGTACTTAGTCACGCGTTCGCCTCGGGAAAGACCTCCCAACTTGATAAACCGGACACTGAGTCCAACAGCCTTAGGAAGGGGAAACACAACTGTTTTTAAACGGGGGAGCCACATTTTGTTCAAATGACAGTGTCACTGTGTGCAGTTCTGGTGTTTCGCTTATAACTCTGTTTTTTTATCTTTACCTAAGGAAAGTGGGCCTGCTGAAAAGCTGAGCGGGTCAGAAGGTAAAGACGTCGTGTGACTACATCAGGTGCTTCCCTAGTCATGGAAGCATGCTGATTTCATCTAAGAACATTCTGGCCTTTCTCACTTCATGTTAGAAGGTGAGATTGCAAGTGCCCACCCCAGTCATTTAAGCATGCCCACCATTTTTCCCAGGACTTCAATTTTTCTTCTTTTTGAAAGTTCAGAGATTAGCTCTTTCCATAAGGGTAGCTAGCTGCCTGGGAGGAAGCAAGTCTATTTCATAAAAGGTTACATGACTTTCTCCACCAAAGACTGCATTTCTGTGAAATACCAGTTCGTGATAAAAGCAGTGATTGGGCAATCCTCCAATTGATCAGTGTTCAGCACTTACCAAGTCTACAAGGCTGTCATCGGAAGACTCGCCTTCTGTGCTTCCAAAGATGGCGATGCGCTTCTTACCTGCAGGCAGAGGAATTCCTTTTCGTTTTAGGTGGTACGGAAACAATGAGCACATAGATGAGCTTGTGAGACCAAAATTTAGTTTCCCAGAGATTGAAAACTTTCTGTACAGAGTCAATTATTTGACCCCCTCAGAACTCTAGCCCAAACATTTGCATTTCTGTTACTCTGGTTTTATCTGTTGACCCCTTTCTAGTAGCTTACATGCTAAATACTAAATGAAGGCCATATTTCATCAAATTTACGATACCATAAATTGTAAGAGGCGCCGTTATTACCACTAAACGGAAAAAAATGCTCAAATTAGATTGACACATTTCTAAGACCACAACTGTAAGACATTTCATCCATGTTCAGTGTAGAAAAATGCATCTTTGAGTCTGTACGGTGAGTGCAAGAATATTACATGCAGAGTTGATGGGCCTAAATAATGGAGTTCACATTTCATCAGGTAGAATTTTATTCCATGGAACCTACCATTCTGAGTGTTGACTTACTAGGAGAGCAGTGTTGATGGTATTTAATCAGCCATTTGAGGATCTGAAAGCCCCTTGAGATTTACCAAAGTCTACAAAGAGTGCAAGCCAGTCTTCTTCCTAGAAGTTTGTATTTTAAATGCAGCTACAGCAGCAATCTGAAGTGAATGACAGCGACTACTGAGGGGTGGGTCCTAGACTGGGGCGCCTGCAGGTTGAGGGACACAGGCATTTCATTCCACCCTCGGCCACCAGCCCAGGCCCCTGCTCCAGGTCTGAGACTACTGTCTGGGTCCTGAGACCCACTCCTGATATTTATGTTTCAGGCACTGTGCTTAAGTGAACAAGACTCCCGTGAACTCAGGGGAGTTGACAGTCTAGTGGGGGATACCAGGCATCAAATAATTGTACAAAGAATTGGGGCGAGTACAACAAAGAGAAAATATAGGATGCTATGGGAAAGGTTCGGAGCAACCAGCTAGGGGTGGAGGAAGTCAGGAAAGGCACGTATGTTTGCAGAGGTTTAATTTAAGGCAAGAAGACCCAAAGGATCAGGAGTAGTTACCAAATAAACAGTGCAGGACAAAGCATTTTAGGCTGAAGGAAAAGCTTGTTGAAAGACCTTAAGAAGGTAAAGCGTTAGAAACTTTTGAGGAATTAAAAAAAAGAGCCAGTGTGAGCAGGTTGGGAACATTGTCGTGTCGTGTGGAGCTGATAGGGCAGTGGCCTTGGCCACACACCTTTGTGGTAGTGCTCACTAAAGGGCATGACCTCCTGGACTGGAACAGGACCGAGACTGGAACACTGGGAAACGAATCAGTAAGAGGCATTTTGTTTCCCAGCACCAAATCTCTCATAGGTGGTTAGATTTCTTTTCTTCCAAGATTTATTCCATGCTTTTTATTAACTGATGTACTGCATATTTTGGGCTTCTTGTATAACCAAGTTAAGTTCATTATGAGTCTGTCAGACCTCTACACTTTTACTTACTGTCAATGAGATTGCTTATTTCCACCAAGTCAGATATCGTAGTTTGATTTGTATGTTTTATGATCAGCCCACTGGATTTGGGGATGCTGATGTTTCCATCCTCTAGAAGTTTAGAAATACTTTTGGACGCACTTCCTGCAATTATGTAACACCTGGAACCAACAGCGTTATAGATGCTGTCCCACTGTTCAGAGTCCTGGGTAAATATTTAAGAATTGATCATTATAATGTATTGAACACAATCACAAAACAACAGGAACCATATAGCACATAATCAAAGTTCTACGCCTTTCTGAGACACACAAAACACTTCCCTTTTGCATCTGCAGTTGAACGATGCCTGCACCATAGCCACACAAATTAACAAGCCTCTTGAAACAGAGACTTACAATGATTCGATCTGAGCTTAAAGATCTTAGTGAATAAAATGTTCGTACACAGTAAATGCTATTCTCCACATTGATTCTGACATTCTTCAAACCCCGGCTTTCCCCACCTACTGTATTACCTATCATGCTGCTGTGACTGGCTGGTTAGATTTTACTGTTATTTCTGATAAACAGATCAACTGAAAGAAATGAGTCTGCAAGAGCGCTGTGCCCTTGTTCTCAACACCATTATGTTTTCTTTTTTTTTTTTTTTTTTAATTCCTTTTTTTTTTTGGGTGAGACCACCAATAAGAAATGAAATGCTTACTATTAAAAAAAAAAAGATGACATTCAAAGTCTTTCCAGCCATTATACCAGATTTCAACCTATCCCATTAGCACAGATCATCTAGGCACACCTTTTCACACTAAAAAGAGCTGTGGTCAGGGCCCCAGGACAAGCATCAGAAGACAGGTCTGGAAAGATTAAAACACTGAGCTCAGCTGGCATCTTCCACAAGCACAGAGAGGGAGCAGAGGCTGTGAAAGGACAGGTAGGATTGAGAGCCCCTGGGGTTCCCAACGAGACCCGGCACTCTTCTGTCCCTCAAATTTAAATTGTTGAGTTCTCTCAAAGAGGGTATCCATTCAGAATATGTAATGGTTCTCACATTCATAAAATCAAGAACTTAAGTTTTTTTGGAGTTTAAGTGGGATAGGAAGAGAGACGGTCATTGGTGTCATATAAACAATTCTTGTCAGTATAGATTTAAAAAACTCAATATCTCAAACCTTTTAAAAATAGGGCTTTGTTACTTTTATGCAGACGTAGTAACTGGATTTAGGTTAAACATTTGGCCTAGTTGAAGTCCCGCTTCCATGAGCACTTGAAAATGATGTATGATTAAGCTATTGAAGCACCAGCTCGCACAGCGGGCTTGGCTTCCATCGGTTGGGTTGCGTGTAAATACACACGTCCTCCTGAAGTGCTTGGGAATGGCTTGCTTCATTCTGTAGACAGGCATGCTCCTTTGTAATTGTGTTTCTGCTATTCATTTGCTTAGTAAGTGCCTTTTCTCACAAACGCCGGAATGAAGCAACTCAGCCCCAGTCTAAATTACAGCACATGTTGCATGACAGATCCAAAAGAATGAGATTTTATTCTGTGTTTTATTATAAAATTCAAGGTGACTCCTGTTACCTCTTTCCTGAAAGGATCAATGATGGCAATAATGGAAGGGAACCTGCTGATCAGATCCACATACAGGTCAACCATCTCAGCTGCAGTTTTGTACATTCCCGTCATCACTTCATACTTTCCTTTACTCTGATGAGTGTCAGGAAGATAGTAAAGGATAAATGATGAATTCCTCCAATGTTAAAGATGTGATTCAAATCCATTTTCATTCATTTCATATAAAAATATTGTAAACAGATTCTTTTCAGGCCACATTCACATGAGAAATCTATGCATTTTACTTTTAATGTCTGTTAAATGTTATCCTGGGGAGAGCAAGTCACACCATCCCTCTTAGTGCCGTAGAAGCTCGTCCCACTGACTTGGGATAAAGCCTTCTGCACACAAAACAACTGAGTATAGAGTAGGAGGGGATAATTTCTTCCTGAGGTTTAGGACGTGGTGCTAGAAACCTGGCTGCTTGGGTGGGTGGGCAATAACATAAACCCATAAAACAAGCAATAGCAACGCAAACTTGCCCACTCACTAGAACCCTCCATCTTTCGACTCTCAGTGACCAATAGCTTGTTTCCTCCACTGTGAATACTCTAAGATTTGAAAGCAGGGCTAGGCTTTTGAGATACTAACAACCAATATGAAATGGAAAGCGAGTTATGTGAAGGCACCCCTTTGTCAGGTAGCATGTAAGTTCTAGAAGTAACAATATTGTCTTGAAAGTAGAATTCCAAGGCAACCTCATTCATGTGAAGCAAGCCCCCAAGTCACTAAGTATAGAAGTCAACAGGCCTACAGAACCTAGTGAGTCTCTGCAAAACAGAGCACCTTGACTTCCAAGTCCCGGGGATATCGAGGTACCGGGAGGGAAGTGGAAGGGAACAGATTGGCTGTTTGGGTTGCTGAGGACTTCCTGCTGCTGCTGCTAATTAAATGAATTCCACTGGAATTAAGCAGGTTCTTAAGAAATCCATAATTGAAAGGATTTCATACTATTGTTTTTCACATTAAATAGCATCAAGAACTTTTAGTTTCTATACTGCAAAGCTTTAAAATCTTATCTTGTCAGTAGGGAAATGCTAATGACTTTGAACTAACATTATTGTAAGAATTACCTGGATATCAAGGTAATATATCTTACTGACTATAAGCAATAAATACCCATTCTACTTAGCATTAGTAGTCAGTATATTCATGGTTCTTGCTATACGTTGCTGATGAAAGCATGCAATTATTTTTCTTAATGGTACGCCTAGGAACCAGTCATTATGTGAAGAACAGGAAATTACATTAAACCTTCCTTTATGTGCTTTGTTTCTTTAGAAAAGTAGAAATTCAAGAAAGCGGCTGAAACTTGGGGTTCTTGTATACTGTTCAAATTTTCCTTTGAAGTTAAAAATTAGGATCGTAAATCAAAGCGGAATCCTGGTCATGCTCCCTGAATTTGACATTAATTACCTAATTAATTAATTACCATAAATGCATGTCAATATGCTGGGCATTTTATAAAACTTCGAGTCAGCATTTATGTATTGGAAAATGAGAAGTATGTGTATAAGACAGACTGCTTCTAATAGCTTTCCTAACATGACATTTCCCACGTTTAAAGGTTAATTGCTGATGCATTACTCTGAGGAAGTGAAGACTACAACATTTCTTAGCGAACCTGTTTTCCATTCTCCTTCTTTCTTAAAATAACTTCCTCCAGGTACTATGGTCCCCAGGTAAAGTTTCATCAATACAGATCTGTCTTCCTAACCCAGGCTGTGGATAACACTGTGATGGGCTTAATCGGGTAAAAACGTATTCTCCATAACCTTCAATAAGTTGGAAATATGTTTATATTTAAAAAGTGAGTCACAGCAAAACTGCCAGGAACCACGTGTCTAGAGGGTTTGTCGAGTCACAGTTACAACTGATCCACTTTTTTGTGCTTTACAAATTCGGCCTTTACCGACCAAATGGTTGTACTCAGCAGAACATACTAGTGAGTTAAATGATTTTTCAGTAGCTCTCATGATTGCAATGTAGGCAACCCATTTTAGTCATTTTTGTTACCGAATTTCTATATATAATTATTATGACATTTTCTGTTAATTTACAAAATTATGTATATCGTTATTCTCTGGTCATTAGCTAACTTGACTATCTCAACTCCATTTATATATATATTTTTCAAAACATTTATTTTAATTGTCAGTACAATAAGACAAGAAAAAGAAGATACAAGAATTGAAAAGTAATAACCAAACTATCATTATTCATAAATTATGAAATGGTGAGCACAGAAATTCAAAGATAACCTTCTTAAATAAACTATCAGACTTATTAAGTAAAATAAGTAGATTAATATATGAATACTAATTGTATTTCTATACATTAGTCCCCCTAAGAACAATTTTAATGACACTGTTATTAGCAGTATCATCAAAACACCATCAACTTCATTTATATTTGGACCCCCCCAAAAATATTAACAACAAAAAAATAAGATCTATTTGGAAATATACAGATAAGCTCTTCTATTGAGTTCTAACTTAAAACTAATAGGACCTCAACCCAAAGTAACTGGAGTAGAAACTTACATAGTCCATCAGCTCATGCGCAGCACAGTTGATGGCCAGATGCAGATTTGTTCCCAATTCGAGCCCCAGATTTGCACAGATTCCTTGTATTAGGAGCAATGGCTGCTCTATGGTGTCATAAGTAATGGTTAAACAGCCAAGATGGGACATCTTGCCAGTGATCATCTGCTGTGAGATCAGGGGAAAATGATGCGTGTAAATATAGCACATTCCAGTTCTTGGAGCTTTCTGTGTCAGGCACAGTTTATAACCAGACACACTCTCCAAAGATGTGCCCCTCTGATTCCTGATGAACCCTCCTTCCGGGTCCCACTCATCTTTGCATGACCCTTGGGAGGTGATTGCCCTGCAGTATCTGGGAGTAATTTTCTTATTCGTTTTACTTACCAAGGTTTTCAGGTTTGACCTGAGGACACACTTTCTGTCTTTGGTGTGCTGATGTGATCTCTTTATTGGCTCCACCATTGTACACAGGCTGACCTGAGCCCGACCACCAGGTGGGTGAGTCACCGGGCAGTCCCTCCCTGTAAACTTCTGCCTGTCCCTAACTGCCCTCTTCCTCCAAGCCTGCTCCTTTCCGTCCTCCATTTGCCTTCAGTAGACTATAACTGTTAAAACTTAAAAATGCAATCCTACTTCGGGAAAAGTTTTTATTTTAAAAAGGATTGAAGTCTTTGGCTAAAAGGATGTAGCGCTGAGGATGGATTTCCGTGGAAGAAGATTTGAGGACCCAAATGACCCCAGGAAAGGTAGCCATATTCTCCTCTTGCAAGGTCAGCCTTGATATGCCTTTGTCATAAATTGCCACTATTGCCACAATTATAACGTAAATTGAAGCAATATCAGAACTCTGAGGGCTGAAGGGGTGTGTGTGCACATGTGTGCCAAGCTCAAAAGCAAACATGAACCTAGGCATAAATATCCCGTTTTTACCGGTGATAGCACTAGTTCATTCCAAGAACCATGCAACATATTTAATGTCAGTGAGAGGAACCTTCTATTTGGCAAAGGAATAGTTAGGGAAATTTTTGTGTTCTCAATTGAGTGGTTTCGTTACAGAGTCTTCTAAACTATAAAAGCGTCACTTTATTTGGCGCACTACATGTCAAGCTAGTCTAAGCACTTTACATAAAGTAAATGCATTACTCCTTATGTCAGCCCCATGAAGCAGGTACTATTATTAGCTGTATTTTATAGAGCGTTTTACTTCAGGGAGGTTAGCTCCAGGGTCCATGACTCTAACTCTGGTATGGCTGCCTCTCTAGAATCTATCGTCTAACCTGTTTCTAACAGGGGGGAAAAAAAGCAGTAAGGCTGATCACAGGAAGGGCTGACCTTGGTCTGAGTTTCTCAGACCACGTGCGACAACCTACTGGAGGGAAGGGACCAGCACTGAGATTAGGCTCCTTGTCCACCACCCCCTGCCTCTCCTGCAGTGTCCAATGTTAGTGTTGGGCTCATTCTACCATGTACGACAGCTGTCAAGTATTTTACTTTCTCTTTTCTCTCCCTGTTTTGAGGAGGAACTTACTTTTTTATCTTTACCAAGTCCTCGCCTTCCTTTACCGGTCCCTCCTGTTGATGACTTCAAGAGGCTCTAAGTCCCTGACATCAGGCTAGAGATTGCAGACTTAGAGCAAATCGTACACGTGTGAGCAACCTTGATCTATTTGCATTTCCTCCAAGGTTTTTATTGGTTGTCTTAACTATATGGTTGAAAGTGTAGGCATGTAAAAGGTGCATCTGTCAGAGCACACACAGTCACCAAAGTGACCGGCTGATCAAATGCAGCTGGTCTCCCACGGCTCTGTCTGCCAGCGTGGCCAATTTTCACAAGAACTGTGTGCTTGACTCCCTTGGCAAGGTCTGAGATGTGGCAAGGGTTCATTGGAAATGGTGCCACAGTGCCGTTGGGGACCAGCTGTAAGGAATGGCTGTCTTTTCCTGCCTCTTCTTTTTCTTTGCTAGGAGTAAAAATCTAAAACATCCTACATGGCTTTTGGCTAGTGAACGAGGGATTCAACTTCCTGAACTTCACCTGTAGGGTTTTGAATGTAACCCTATTACTCATAAATGCTTTTCAAAGCCTTCTGAGATTCCAGGTGGCCCGACAACCGCTGGCAGAGATGCCCGGCAGCCTGTGGCCAGAACAGTGGGGGCAGAATGACATTTCACCTCTGGGAATGCCTGGCTTAGTGCTTGGAGCAGAGTCACCATGTACTTTCCACCTGGTCCTGAGTAAACGACTACAGGAGAGGCAAAGGGACAGGGAATGGATCAATGCACTGAGCATATAGAAGTGTGGCAAACAAATACACATACTTACTTGGCCTCTTTTGCCACCATTATACCCTTTCTTCGGCTCTGCCTTTGGAGGAGGGGGCTGTGGGACAAAAGATGGAGACATATCACTTGGCATTTTTAGATGTGTCTATGGTGGTGAAGCTCAGGTCTTTTGGCCTGTCCACTGCTCGGGGGCCTAGGCAGTCACACTGTCAATCACACACACCACACACCACACACACACAACACCCCTCCCCCCACCAGACACACAGACCATGTCAGTCACTCCCTATTTTTATAAACCCTAAACTATTTCTCTAATTCAGGCACATGTTTCCTTTAGTTCCTCCTTACATTCTGCCTCCAAACATACATTTGGGGGTATGTACACACATATTCATGCATTTCTACTCATAGAAATAAAGTATGATTCACTCATACCAAGTCCCCGCCTAGGCCTTAAGGAAGAGCACCACTGGGATTTGTTTTCATAGGCCCAGCATATTGGTTCGAATATGCTCAGGGTACAAACATTTTCTCCTGCAAGGTTGATTTGACTTGTGGAAATAGTCCTAGGTCATTACATCTGGTGACTCTGGTGTGTGTGAAGTCACTGGAGATTAAAAGCAAAGATATTTCCCAAGGAGCCATTCCCACAGGTTGGGGGAATTGATAGCGATGCACTTTGATGCCCAGCATTTACTGGCTCTGTAAGCGAGGGTCTGTCTGTCAAGAAGCAGGTTGGTTCACACTCAAGTGTATGCAAATAGTTATCCTGCTCTTTTCACTATGGAGTCAGCTGACCTTTCGATCCCCTGGTACAAATAACATAGGAACAAATCCACATGCCAGGCAGGGAGGAGAGAGTGGTGAACCAGGCAGACACGGGCCCTGCCTCGGGGATCTGCAGTCTAGCGAGGCAGTGTGGTGAGATGAGTAGTACAGCCAGAGAAGATAGGGTGTGATGGGGAGTTCAGAGCAAGGGGACTTCAGGGAAGGGGGCTCTGAAGAAGGTGATACTTGGTTGATTCAGGGGGGTGCTGAGCCCTCTGGGTAGAGAGAAGTGCGCGTGTGGCCCAGAGCTGAGGCAATGGGGCCTTCCTGCAGAAGCCTGAGAGCCCAAAGCAGAACAGCCTTCATGCAGGATTCTCCAGGCTTGGTATCACTGATACTTGGGCTGGATAACCCTTTACTGGGGAGGGGTGGGGGAGGGGCTGCCTTCTATACTGGAGGATATTTAGCAGCAAACCTGATCTCTGCTTACTAGATGCCAGTAGGGCCCCTCCCTCCAAGCTGGGACAACCCAAAATGTCTCCGGGCATTGTCAGATGTCCCTTGGGTAGACTCACTCCCTGTTGAGAACCCCTGCTTTACGAGAATAGATGGATACATTTTACTATGTCAAAATTTAAAAAGAAAAAAAATCCCTATGATTCCATAAATTTGTAGTTAAAAGGCAGGCAACGTGATAGAGGAAAATATGTATAACATATAGAAAGGATAGAAGCCTTTATTATACAGTACAAAGAATTCCTAGATGTCAGTAAAAGATGAACACTCAATAAAAAGGACAAAGCAATCTGCAGAGTGATTCGTGCAGAATTTCTATTATTTTATACACAACACTATATATTTGTATGTGCATGTGTATGTGTGTATCTGTGTGTATAAATACAAAAGGAAGGCTGGAAGGCCACTAAATTTTTAGCAGTGGTAGCCTCTAGAAAAGGGAGTGGGGACTGAAGGGGTAGAGGGTAGAGGGCGGGGAGTTGGTGTGGGGGGGTGACTAGCTCTACCAGTATTTGAATTTTCACAAGAACATTCATGAGCTACTTGTATAATTAAAAGAATTAATAAAATATTTGAAAGTCAGCATGACTGCAGAAAGTGCAAATATCCTGAATTTCCTAATATTCTAGGCCGGATTTCCTCCACCTGCTCTGACAACCACTGTGTGTTGCTTTACTGCTGCACCAGCTCCTGCTCTGAGCACATTGCTTGTATCCAACGTGTTCACGCCTTACAATCTCCCCACCTTATACCCATTTTATAGGTGAGGAGCCTGAGGCAGAGAGCTTATGTCATTGGCCCAAGGTGAAATAGCTGGTTAAGGGGGAAAGTAGAGTGCAAGGTCAGGCTTAACTGGTCCAAGCTGGAGTCTCTGCAGGCTGCTCACCCATAAAGCAGTTAGCCTCCTGAAAAAGTGCCCTAGAAACTGGCTCCAGGCTGGTGATGAAAGCAATTCTGATTGACTTGTAGGGCTTGGGTCCCAGCTACCCCTCTCCCATTACGACGGGAGGGTCTGGTGCTTTCTAATCAGTAGCTTAAAAGCCTCACACTAAATGAAAGTGGGATTCTGGGTTGGATCCAGGAACAGCAAAAGGGCATTAGTGGAAAAAGCAATGAAATTTGAATGAAATCTGGAGTTATTAGTAATGTTAGTTTTGACAAATGTACCATGGTAATGTGTCATGTTAACCTTTGGGGAAAATGGGTGGAGGAGTATTTGGGGACTCCCTGTACTATCTCTGCAACTTTTCCATAAATGCAATATTATTCTAAAATGTATATATATATATATATATATATATATATATATACACACACAATGTCTATGTCTATGTCTATGTCTATGTCTATGACTATGTCTATGTCTATGTCTATGACTATGACTATGACTATGACTATGACTATGTCTACCGTACAGCAGGGCTGAGGCCAGGAGAGGGACCCAATCCCAGAGACAAGGATTGGATCCCTCTGCTGGTCTCAGCCCTGCCACATCACTGTGCATTGTCCACACCCCTCCAGCCCTGTTAGAGTAAGATGGGACAACCGGTGACTCCTACAGCTGCCTGTCCTGCTTCTAACTCCCCCTCGCCCCCCCCCAGGGCTGCTAGGCCACAGGCAATTGCCCAACACTGGAATTCTAAGCACTCTGTGCTTTAACCATTACACCAAACTGCCTCTCATGGGCCAAATCCTTCCTTTCTTTGCGAATCCTAAGGAATGATGTTAGCATAGAGCCAGCTGCCTCACAAATCAAAGTGAGATGGTTAAGTACCATTAGAAACTGGACCCAAAGCCAGTGAGGAATGGATAAGCTTGGCTCTCGTATGGGAAACCCAAAGCAAATTAATACGTTTTCCATATCGATAACAACGCTATTACTTCCATAACAAACTGTAATTTGGGTGCTAGAAGGTAAGTGTCAGTAATGAAATACCACAGATTCTCTTTACATACCATTTCAATTGTTTTGTTAATTTGTTTCTGAATTTCCATAAGCATCTCCATACCCTGTAAGTAAAATAAACATGATCTTCCACAACTGCAGGCTAGAAATTTTAAATGTAAAAACTTACAGCCCCCCATGGCTGTTTCTAACCCAGAGTATCTGGGGGTCCCTGACAAGGCACCCTGCGTAGTGGGTGATCTGGTCTGCTATCAGAAGAGCAAATGTTGATCTTCAGCCCTCAGTCTGTATTTGGTTACACATGAATGGAGGTTCTTCTTCCTCACTATCCTCTCTTCATTGTTCAGAACTGGTTCATTTGGCTGGATCAAGTTCACTTCATTCTCTTGCACGGTCTCTTGACGGACCTTGCAGTACGCGTCACAGGTCACCAAGGGTTGCTGCATCATGGTGTCTGAGTGAGTGTAAACCCACTGTCACTTACAAAGTAGAAAAGTGTGTTCTGATGACGGTAGGACTTGCATGTGAAGACAGATAAAGAATGGCCCGCCGAATGCTCCGGCACCCACACATCTTAACTACGGGGAAGATCCTGGGGCCAGGATCCGAACAGGATCTGACAGCTGGTGAGCCAGGAATAAACCCTCGTCTTTCACACTGACAAACTGCAAGGTAAGGATTATTCTCTTCTAAAAAGAATTCTTTATCCCAAATCATCTTGAGAGTTAAAAAAAAAAATCATGATTTTCTCTAGCTTAGATCAAATATCACTCAGTTATCCCCAAAGGGGCAGAGCTGCCTGTACTTCTGAAAATATCCCCTATAAATTAGTTCTCCCTGCTGCCGCATTGGTAGAGTATTTCATAAAGATTTCACCCAGCATACTGAGTCATTCAGGACCCTGAACAACATACAGACACTAGCACACCACTAAGTAGCAAAGATGCAACTTAGGTTCCTTCCCTCCGTATTACATAATCATGTACCAAACCTCTCTTATGTGCCCTGCAATCTGCCATCTCCAGGCCCTGGAGTTCTATCTGAACAGAATGGGTTGCTAGGAAAGTGCCAGCTTCCTCTTGTTGCTGCCATAGTGCATAGACTAGTAAGTAAAGATATCTCAACTCGTCACCAAAACAGCCTTCCAGCACTGTCAAGGGCTGCAAAGTCACTCAGACATGGCTTCTCTGGGAGTCACCAGCTCAGGTCAGAGCTGGAATGAACCAGAGCTCTAGCGTGGCCCAAACAGTGTTCCCTTTTGTTTAAGGTCTTGGTTTCCTTCCATTTCCCCAATTTCCTAAAATATGTTTTCTCATTTTGTATTGAATCCCCTCTCGGTGTCATAGCCATGGGGACCTACACGAAGAACTCATCTATGATGCAGCATATTTTTTCAGAAAAACGTAGTTAGAGATAGTACTTGTTTAGCTGTTAATCCAGGATGGGGTATACACATCACTTCTTTCATTAAATTCAGCTTCCCAGGCGATGACTTCCCACAGCTAACCAGAGACACCATCAGCAAAGGTATAGATAGCTTTGTTGGCTGTTCCTGAAATAGGGGAAACGAGAAACATGGTTCATTCGTACTGACTGAGACACTCATGGGTCCTCGTGATGGAATGGAACAGGTGCTCACCTGAGGGTGCTTCAGTAATGTGATATTGATGTATAGGGGATTACTGCCCAGCACAGCACTGGTTTTGGCTACAGCCAGTGACACAGCCCCGATGGCCATGCTGCCACAGAGTACAGGTTCCACAGGTTCTGGCGATATAATAGGTTTCTCTGTAAGCGCATCCTTCATACCTGGAGGGAAAAATATTGACAAAAGATTCCTTTCTAGGAAGTTGGACTATAAGAAAACTATACATTTTAATGCTTTACTTAGAGATGTGAAGCCCCAGCATGAAGAAAGTTTGAATACTGAGGCTGGGAAGAATATATTCTCCACCTCAACCCCCAATAAGTTTTCTGTTTGATTTCATTTACTGCTCCCTAATGCTCAAATAATTCCGTAGGCATGGATTTTTCCTCTCTATGAAATTTTAGCTATAGAGGGCGCAGCATCACTGGCCCTCATGTGGGATCTGAACCGGGGTCCTGCTGCTCAGAGCTGGCGTCCCAAGCCAACTCGTAACCAACACGCCACTCGGCTGGCCCTGTGATAACTTTATTTGCTTTAAGATAGCAAAGGTTTCCAAATAGAATTTTCATTAATATGTTACACAGCCCTGAGGACATGCCAGTTATCCACATCAGAGGATATCATTAATCCTTATAACATGGAGTGGCTTCTTGATGAATTCTGAAAATTTGAGGGGCAGTTAAAGATCCCCCATGCCACCCTCCCCTTCCCTGTCCCCAGCATTGCCACATTCAGTGCACTTTGTTTAGCAAGTGTTCACCTCAGGGTAAGAAATATTTTTATCTTACAAGAAAAAAAAAAAAAGGAGGGTAGGATGGGGTAAAACCCTGACAGCCCAACAAAGAAGCTTCAAGCAAGGAAGTGGCATGGAGGATGGGTAGGGTAGTACCTGGTGAGCCCAGCCTAGGTCTATAACAAAGAGACCCTGACTCAGAAAGGCAGATCAAGCCTTTTGTCCTCACACATTTGTTATGAAAGGTTCTGCCAGATGACAAGCCACAGACCTTGCTTTTGTCCTTTTTTTTTGGCTGGAGGAGGATGAGGATGTGGTATTAGGGGTGAAGGTGCAGGCACTGTGGACTCTTCCAGGCTCTTCTCCAGTTCTCTTCTCTCCTTATCTTCTCGCACTTTATTTTCAAAGAATGCCCTTAATGGCAAGAAAATGCAGCTTTTAATGGCATATTTAGGACTATCACTTGTAATTTTGGTCATGTTTTAGTGCTGACCCCAATGTTTCAATAATTAACTCTGCTTTTTAGCTACTTAAGAGCATAGTTTCAATTTCCAAGGCCAAACATAATGAGGCTGTTATGAAACTGTTCAAAAACTGAAGTTCATTTTGGCCTGGAAATGAATGTTTAAAGATTTCAGGTACTCATTAAAAAAAAATGTGAGCTCTGCTTCTATTTTTAAAGTAAATTTGAAGATATAATTTGATTAAGGGCTACTGGATTTTCTTTTTCAATAAATGACCATCAGAAGAAAAATGAGTCAAGACTAGACAGTGAAATATAGAGCACCACGTGCAAGACTCTTCTTCTTTTGGGAGGCGGTGTAAGGCTTGAAATGAATAGTTAAAAAAGTTTTGGAAAATCTCATTTAGGTACATATACGTAAAATTTCAGTCCACAGAATAAAAAGAGGCTAAAAGCTTCCATAGACAGAAAACAAGCCAACAAAGAACAAATATATGGGAGCCAGATTTGTATTAGACATATTAGTAGTCCAGAGGCCAGCAGGGCTTTGCCTTTAAAGCACTGAGAGAAATTGATTTTCAATGAGAATTCTATACTCAGCTAAACTGTCAACCATGAGAGCAAAGTGCTGACACTTTCACACATGTAAGAGCTGAAAAACTTTACATCCCACATACCCTTTCTCGTCCTTAACTTTTAAAGGATGTAATCCAGCAAGTCAAGAAAGAGGAAGATAGGGGATCCGGGCAATAGGAGAACAATGAAGGATGTCTTATGGCGTCTCTGTAGTAGGCTTAGAGAGGAACCGGTGTAGATGGGAGGTTTGGGGAGGGAAAGCGCCAGGAAAATACAAATGTATAGAGTAGAAGGTAGGACTGAGAGCTTGGGGGAAAAAAGTAAGGATATGATAATAGCAGATAAGACACACATAGAAAAAAGAATAAGTAGGCTAACATTCAGAAACCAAAAGCTACTCAAAAAAGTGTATTTTTTTACAAAGGTCATGATCTAACTCTGAAGCAAACCAAAACGTGATGTTATGCACCATTAAGCAAGTGATGAAACTCAGAGAAAGAGAATCCAGTTGACCTTCATCTGGCCTAGAGGGTTGTGGCATTGGACCTGCACCCAAGGAAAAGTAACGCTAACCTAACTTAGTTGGGCACTGAACAATACTCACATAGCTCCAGTAAACACTTCCTTGGTTTTCGCATTTTAGAGTCAACCTATGGAAGACTTGGCTGTGTCTGGAGGACAGAAAATACGCATCACCCATTGTGACTGTATAAAAGGATATGAGACGGGGCAACCAGTTAGCTGAGTTGGTTAGAGTGCAGTGCTCATAGCACCAAGGTTGCCAGTTCGATCCCCACGGCCTCCACAAACTAGATTGAAACATCTACCTGACTTGGAGCTGATGGGTCCTGGAAAACCACACTGATCCCCAATAAAATAAATAAAAATAAAAGGATATGAGACACTCAAGGGAGGTATATGAGGAGGTGGGGAGAGGAAAGGAACATCATTTCGATTCTTAATTCTTTTCCTGAGAAGCTTTTTACTGAACCCTAAGAAAGCTCGATGTATGAAAAGAGGCTGCAAGTCCTTATGTAGCCTTACACGGTAAAATTTTAATAACAGGGTTTTCAGAAGAAAAACAACATTTTAGGCTATATTTTGCTGCTTTTAGCATATGCTTCCTATAGATATGACAGACCTGTTTTATTGACAGGTGAAATGGAGAGAAAACAAATATATACATATGTATTTATGCTGGACACTTGTATTTCCAAGTGGGAGATTTACCTGAGCACCTGATCCACCTGAGCCTGGTTGGAGGGAGCTATGCCCTGAAGCTCCTGGGTGATGGTTTCGTTGACCCATTGTACAGCAGTGAGAACAGCATCGGACCGTTCTACTTCCTCTGCTTCAGCTAGCTCGGGGAAAGCGTTCTCATGGACTTCGAAGTGGGTCGCGATCACCACGGAACATATGTTCTGAAAATAATATAAGCGTGTTCTACATTGTCTCTACCTCTTGCAGAAACTAGGAAATTGAATGTGTCTGGCTTTTAATGTGCATACTTTATCACCAATTTCAAAGGGAAAACGAGAATATATAATTTTCCTTGAGGGTTTTTTTTATAGCTATTGAAATACTGTGGAACTCAACTTCAAGGAACATTTAAAATTATTACCTTGTTAAAATCCCCTTAGAAAAATCTTAACATTGTACAGCATTTTTATCACTACCTCTCCAATAAATAGCTAAAAGGTTACAAACATATTTGATCATAATTATTTTCCTCCCAGAGGCTGTAGCAAAATTATTTCTAATAACAAATGTGTAACAATTAAAATTATGAAAATGCATTTTTCTTTATGTAGATCAGTCTATAATCCATAAATCTATATAAATTTAGATATAAAAATGTGAATCTATAAACCTGTCTGTAGATTTATCAAACTCATCACATTAATAATGTCAGAATTTTAAACCTATTTTTTTCCCCATTTCTCTTCTCCTTCTTGGATCATCTTCAAGTTAGCAGGTCACGTCTGTACCATATTACACGTAAGAATAATAAAGCCATCATGATTGATTGTATAATTCATGCTTTTGTACATGTTTACCTACAAATAGTGTGTGTGTGTGTGTGTGTTTCACAAACACTGAATTTCAAAGCATTTCTCCACAATTCAGACCCCAATAAATGTAGTGGGGTCAGGACGCAGTGAAGAACACATTTAAGCTGGGAACACATTTACCTTGGGAAAATTTTGAATGGTGCAGAATATTTCCACTTGTAGCGTGGGAAGCCCCAGTCCATCTAGCACTCTCTTCCCCACCACTCTGCATATGGTGGGAGGCTTTGCAAGTTTAGAAAAGCAGTTGGCCTTCAATACAGAAAGACAAAAATTAGACCACCTTTAATTGATTTTTTTTTTTAGCTGAGCCATCCTGCCACCTGTTGGCAGCTCAGCAGCAGCTCAGCTTGGGCCGGGAATCAAACTGGCGACCCTGTTTCTCAGAGCTTGCACTCTTGAGCGAGCTCTTAACCAACTGAGCCACTTGGCTGGCTTCTTAATCTATCTTTAAAACATCATCCTCATATACCCTAGTTTCTACTAACCCTCAGCCTGAATGTCTCCCTCGTGCTGGGATCGGTCTGGTAGCTCCGTGGAAATGACCCTGCCCTCACACACTGAGATTTGGGTTTAGCCTGATGCTGAGTCTCTGGTATAGGGGACAATTTGTTGTCTTTTGAACTCTCAGTAGAAACTCACATGTATTTCTTAATTTAAAGGTCCTACGTCACTCTTTCGCTGGCCCTATCCTATCCTTCTGTCCAAGATACTGAAGTCGATTGGTCTCTGGAACACTGTGATGCATTCAAACTCAAGAAACCTTAAGTGGGTCGGTTTTTATTCCTCCCAGCAAGGTACCTGATGTTTTAATGGTGAAGACTTATGCAGAGGCTGTAATGCACTGACCATCACATCAGTTCATGCACAGAATTCAGAGGGGATTGTTGGAACCTTAGTAATAGCAGTTTCATTGATGTGGAAAAGCAGAAGCCACTTGGAAGTGATCCAAGAAAAAGATGGAAGAAGGAGAATGAAGCTGAGGTAGAAAGCCCACTCAAGGAGCCTGAGTGAGAAGATTCAAGATGGTGTTTCTACGCAGAAGAGCAGGAGCTAGGAGAGAAGGAAGAAGGGAAAGTGACGGTACACCCTCTCCACCCTCTTTATCACTAGAGTATTCGGTTCTTTATTTAGCAGACCAGGTCTCTGATCTTCCCGTTCAAATTCCAGGGACCTCAACCTACATAACAGGTCACCTAACACCCATCAGTAATGTGCCAGTGACAAGGTGGTGCCCCAACAGAACTGAAGCAAAAGCCAATTTTCAAGGATGCATTTAAGAATGATAGTTTGTATGTTACAGAGTAAGTGCCTAAATGAATTTAGATAGAATCAGGAGAGGAAAAATATTATCTAGCTTATACTTTGTGTATGTAGTGAATTCAATTCAACAAGCAACAAGCACCTACAATGTGCCACATATTCTGATAGGAGGGGAAGGGAACTCACATTTCTTTTTTTTTAGCTGAGCCATCTTGCCACCTGTTGGCAGCTCAGCGGCAGCTCAGCTTGGGCCGGGAATCAAACCACTGTTGCTCGGAGTTCACATTCTTGAGCGAGCTCTTAACCAATTGAGCCACTCGGCTGGCCCACTAACGTTTCTTTATGTGCTTAATGTGTACCTTGAAGGAGTGACTCTGTCCTGTTTATCACAGTATCACATACCCCAGTGCCTGGCATATTTAGGATTCCATAAATTAAATCTTGTATAAATTAGTACATGTCGGACAATCCCTGGGTACTTTGTATACACTGTCATTAAATTCTCAAAACAACTCTGTAAGGTGAGTTGTATCATCTCCATTCTACAGATTAGCAAACTGAGTTCCAGAGAAATTGTCTACGATAACGAGCCAATGTTTTAATTATCTACTGCTTTGTAACAGACCAGCCCAAAACTTAATGGCTTAAGCCCTTTATTTGCTCATGATTCTGCAATCTGGGCTGGGCTCAACTGGGCAGTTCTTTGGCTGGTCTTGCCTGGGGTCTCCTGTGCAGATGTAGTCATCTGAAGGCTTGACTGGGTCCAGTGTTCCCAAGATGGTTCCACTCATAGGTCCGCTGTCTCGGCCGGGATGGTTGGAACATCTAGGGGCTCGCTGGGCATCCATCTTTCTCACAGGATATCCTGGAGATCTCACACCTGCCAGGGCCTCTCTCTATACAATCTGTCTCCCATCAGTAGGGTAATCAGATGTCCATGCACACAGCATGATGACTAGATTCTAAGAGGGAGTATTCCAAGAGTACAAGCCTCGATATGCCAGCACTTACCAAGCCTCTGTTTGCATCACACTTGCCTACGTGCAAGTCATAGGGCTAAGTCCCGAGTCAATGTGGGAGGGACTTCCATAAGTCCATTCATATTAGTGGTGTGGTTTGCTGGGGACCATCATCATAAGAGTCTACTACAGCTACTGAGTGGCAGGGCTAATCCTCAAATCCACATTTGCCTGATTCCCAGTCCCAAACTCTTCCAATTGTAAGTTTTATGATGAAGAAATAAAGAGTACTGTTATTGCCCACAGGATCTGAATTCCTCTAATATGTAAGAGAAGAGCAGAAGAAATGGCATTTGAGCTGAACACTGAAGGGGGTGTAGTATTTCAACAGGCAGGCAACGGGGAGAAGTCCAGTGTGGATATTTCGGGTAGAGGGGACAGGATAAGCAAAGTGGAGGGAGGGCAGGGGAAAACTCAGGCCTTAGGGAGTGGTAAGTGGGCCTGTGTGGAGCAGCAGGGGAGGGAGTGGGAGGGTTACCAGAGGTAGGGGTGAAGCAGGATGAATCATATGCAGGAAGGTGGGTGTTTGATCTTACTCAGCAAGCAACCAGGAATCTCATGGGTTTTCTAAGTAAAAGGATGACGGTCAGATTTAGGATTTGGAACATTGCTCTGGCAGCACTGTGCAGGGTGGACTCAATAGAAGGAGAGACTAGGTGAGAATAAGGATGGCTAAAACTAGGGCAGTGACTAAGAAAATGAGGAGGTGGACTTTTTGCCAATCCAAATCCTGAACATCCTTCAAAGTCCAGGCCCAAACTTTCCCAGCTGCTACAGCCTACAGGGATCTGGGCCCCATCCCTGGATCTCTTTAGTAAGCATACAGTATCTGTCCCTCACTCTAGCCCACAATCGTATATCGCCTGATCTATTAATCCAATTGTTTTATTTATCAGTGACTTTTGTCCCTCACTAGGGTATAAGCTCCCAGAGAGCTGTACAAACCAAAGCCCTCGCTGCCTAGCAGACTGGGAAGAGCATTACACTGGGAAACCAGAGTCCAAGTTTCCAGTCTTAGCTTTTGCACTAAGTAGCTATGCGACAGGGCTTGGCATCTTTGTAAAATGAAGTGTGACCAGGTAACTTTCAAGACTTCCTCTAGCAAGAAACAGTGGAAAGAGAGTGGAATTCAGAGTTGCAGTCACTCCTTTATCCTACAAATAGTTTTGGAGCATCCACTGTGTATCATGCACTCTGCTAGGTACTAAGGACACAGACCTGGTTTGATTTCTCTTTTTCACTGTGTCCCTTGGGAATTTAAATTCACCGGGCTACAGTTTATTTGTAAAATGAAAATCATAATTCTTACCTCACAGTGGCCCTAAGGATTAAGTGAAATAACATATAATGCACATAGCACAAGGGGCTCAGTAAACACCTCCCTTCCCCCCCTCCCCCCAACTTTGATGTATAGGCCATGACAGGAAAATAAACATGCATGGACCATCCTTTCTCACCTGTCTCAACAAAAGGGTTTTGAACCCTGTAAACACATCGTGTGATTCTTGACAGCATTTACGTACTCTGCTTGGGGTTGTCATACTGCCTTACCATAGTGCCAATTCCTGCCAGTTCCAACCATGCAGCCTTCCAGAAGGCAGGTGTTGGTTAGTACTGAAGGAACTGGAAAGGAAGAAAATGCTTGCCTTTGTTTCAACTGCTGATTGCTTAAGGCTGAGGTTTGTGCCAGCAATCTCACTGGGGACAGGTAGGTGATGTGAAAAGCCCCCTGTGAGAGCTTACAATACACGCAGGAAATGCTATCGGGATGCAGAAGGACGATTCGTCCAGGGCGAAGTGGGCAAGACTTTGATCTGAGTTTGAAGTTCAGGTGGGAGCCGGTCAGGTGGGGAAGAGCATTGCAGGCTTGATTTGAGTGAAAGTTGGAAGCGGGCTGGGTACGCGGCCCCGGGGAAGGCTGAGGCCAAGCTGTAGCGAATGCCAAGGCGTTCATCCCCTGGTCAAAAGGAGGCCGCTGAAGGTTGGCAAGCTGAGCTAGGCTGTATTAAGGTGTGTTTACAAAGACAACTGGCAGCCGGGGCAGGCCTGCCCAGAGGTAGCGAGGAAGCCTGCCAAGCCTTGAGCTGTCGCCGTAGCTACAAATCCGCTTAGAGCCCCCTTTCCTTCAGCTGCTTCCTGTTCACCTCTTTCTCTCTCTAGAAATTCCTTGGCCCCAGGTTTCCGCTCGGCTGCGTCCCATCAGAGTCGTCTTTCCGCACGACCACCGTGCGGGACCCCAGGGGCAGCGGCGCGCGTGCGCGACCTGCGGCGCAGGCGCACGGAATTGCCGCAGCGCTGCGCGGGGGGGAGAGGGGCTGGAGGGAAGAGGGTGCTTGTCCCAGGTCCCTACCAGGTGCCCGTAGACGTCGGCAGGCTGGAGGTAGAAGGTGGAGTTGAGCAGCTCTTCCAGCCTGCGCGGAACGTCGTTCTCCCGGTAGTACTCCAGAGCCTGCTGCTTCAGCTTCTGCAGCTCCCTAGTGGTCCCGCAGCTGCGGCCGCCGCCTTCTTCCCCCATGGTAGGAGATTTAAGGTTACAGCGGGGGTTAGGCTGGGGGCCTGCGAGCGTCCTCCCCGTCGCTAGGCAACGCAACGAGATTCCACCCCAGATCTCGCGAGGGTCCCGTCCCTGGTTGCCCCTCGCAGCCGCAGCTGCGAATTGCTCCTGCGCACTTCTCTGCGGGATTGGGCTTCTCGACTAGAGCTCTCCCGGCGTTGTTTTCCACCACTTTCCCCAACGTTTTTCAGATGGGAAAATAGTTAACGATCTCAGATAGCGCTTCCTATGGAAGCGTGGGAGCGTTAGACCCGGCTTTCAGCTGGGGGCTCCAGCCTGGCTTGGCGGACTCCTGGCCCATCATCTCCACCTATCATCCCCTCGTTCCTCGCGGCCGGGAGCTTTTCAGGGTGGCCAGGGAGGCCCGTGCAAGCCCACGCTTTTAGGAGGGATGTAAGAACTGAGGGTATGCCCACTAAAGCTGTGGAGGTTCCAGGAATTCATTCATTCAGCCCATACCTAACTACCTGCCCTGAGTCGAACAGGGTGGTGGCTGGGCATACTGTGATGCCCTGGAGCCCAACGGACGCACGTCCTCCCCGGGGCGATTAGTGGGGGTGAAATCAGTGGAAGGAAAAAACATTGTGGCTGGAGAGATTTGGGGTGAACCTTTAAGGATGGTTGTGGTTCCTAGGCCTGGGGGAGGAGGTGATACAGGCAAGACTTGAGAAGTGGGAATGGAAGACTGTCACTGGGCCACGTTCCCTCTCCAGAGCCTTCGCAGGCTGCCTGCGTCCTGCCCTTCTAAATACAAACCGCCTGCGTGGCTTCATTGCACCTGCCAGGTGTCAGATAAACAATCATAGAACTTCTTCATGTGCGCCCTCTGCTTTAGATACTTCTGAGCAGGGATAGGCCCAGATGCACAAGGGTGTTCTTTCCTACTGTTGGCTGTGTGTGTTCCCGACCTAAACAGATCACTTAAAACATCTGTGCAGCACTTTTGCGCATCTGGAAACCCCCCCCCCCCATGTAAGTGGTTATATATAGTGACCATGAATTCAGTAGTATGTCTAGAGGCACTTGTATTCATTTATGGAAACTACATATGACAAAGACTAGTAAGCCTTCAGTGTTGGGAGTGTGTTTGCTGCACATTTAAAATCATGGGACCCTTGCCCACAGTCCATGCGTTTCTTGGGAACCTTGACTGAGAACCTCTAAACTAAGTCTCTCTTAGATCTCTTCTACTCTGTAGCTCTGGTTCAAGATGAAATATCAGGACATATTAGTGCATTCCTGTCTGCTAATGGAAGACCGTTCATAGAGGAAGTTATTCTTCCATCTGTTTCTCAAATCGACTTTCTAAGCTGTGTCAGACATTTCTAAAGGAGCAAGGATGAAGAAAAAGGCGTTCGTTCATTTTTCCTTCATCCTTTCCAACACCTTTATATAAATTGGAACTTAGGCACCACAGCTTGCCATGACTTTAATGGTCAGAAGTGATTATTTAGATGTTATTTTGGGTTGGTATCAAGTGCTTGTTAATTCTTTTTTCCTGCATTTGCCATCTGTGTTGAATATCATTTTTCATAGGGAACTAATGAACGTGATTGCAAGTGTCTTTAATCATAGAATCATAGAAACTGGAGGCAGAATAGTTGGAGATGTTGCCTTTTCCTTATCTAGAGAACAGGGGTAATAGTGTTACCCTTACCCATCCAGTTGTCCTGAATGAGAAATATGATTGCCAAGCTAATTGCAGTATAAATAGCTGCAAATTAAATGCCAAGTAATAACATACTATAGAAATGATCCCTGAAAGTATAGTCCTTAAATGCCAAGTAATAAAAGTAGGACCTATTTGATTAATAAAAAAATGCTTTTTTTGTAATTTGATTTTTTCATCACTAATGCCACCCGACAGTGGTCATCATCACTGTAGTAATAAGAAGAGAAACCACAGCAGCAACCACCATGGATGCGTCACTTTTATATGTCTGGGGCATTCCTTACGTCATTTCATTGAATCTGCAAAGCAACCACAAAAGTCAAGCGTTTGGCCCAAGGTTACACAGTTCATAAATAGTGGAGATGGAATTTGAACTCAGGTCCGGCTGACTCCAGTGACCGTGCATTTGCCAGTGTGCTCCACTGCGTCTCAGATCTAGAACTCTTAGAGTCTACTGTTTCATGTCAGCTCTTGCAAGACTCTTGCCCATTCTGTGCCAGTTGAGTTGCTTACATTGAGGACTTAGAGAAAGGAGCCTGGATAAGTGGCATTACTCTCTTGATCACTGGTTCTCAGTCTGGGCTGCACCATGGAATCACCTGGGGATTCTACTAGTTTCTACTAGAATCCAAGCGCCATTAAAATTTAAGCACCACACGAAGAGAAGGATTATCTATTTTCTTCGTTGCTGTAGTGTTGAAAAACACACATGCCTGGCCCGTACCCCAGACCTACTAAATCAGAATCTCTAGGGGGTGGGGTCCAAGCATAAGTATTTTTTATTTGTGATGTTAATGTGCAGCTAAGGTTGAAAGCAGTGCTCTAAAAGATTTCTTCATGGATCATGTCAGAAAGAGAATGGCCAAGGCTTCACCCAGGATTGGTTTGGTAATGGCTGCAGCCAAGATGGCCTAGAAGTGTTGGGTTTTGGAATCAGACGCCATGGGTTCAAGTTCTGGTTTCTCCAGTTCCCAGCTGTGTGACCTTGTACAAGTTACTTAACCTCCCTGAGCCTATTTCCCCATTGGCTAGTATTTTCAATTTCACAGGATTGCTATGAGATTAAATTTAAAAAATCCATGTGAACTTCTTCCTACTATGCCCAACACACAGAGTAAATGATGTAACTATTACCAAAGAAGTTAAGGAAAAGGAAAATGTAGCGTTTTTAACAGTTTTGCAGTATTTGTCTGAAAACCTTAATGTTGCGTTATACAGGAATTTGGATGGACTTGAATAAAATGATAAGGGAACCTTCCCCCGTCCCCCTTAAAGCAATATTAGTGACATTTTGAGGTAATCAAACCTCTGGTGCTCTTTCACTTTTATTTTAACCTTTACCATTTGTGTAAATTATAAAGTTTATGTATTATTTCTCTCTTGCTTCCCAAACAAGGCAGAAAGCTGGAGCCATAGTTGTAAAGTGAGTGTTCAAAGCTGGCATCCCGTCAAAGGCTGTTTTAGATTTAGCCTTCCGGTCATTTGTTCAAAGGGCTTTGACACTGAAGACCAAAAGATACTGTTGGGGATGCTACTGCTGGCAGTTTAATTGGTGTTTTTTCAGGGTATAGACACACGATTTCCATATAAGCAGAATAAAGCTGGAAGTAGGGCAATTATCCAGTGAGTTCAGACAGTAAAGAGAAAAGGGAAAAAATCAGGCAAAAGAAATTCTTTAGCAAGCTGTTTTGCCATTTTTAAATAGATAATTCTTTTAACTTTATAGAAGCAGATACAACTTAAGAGTATTTTTGTGACATAATTACGGGGCTAATAAAGCAAAATGAACACATATAAAATATCCTACCAAAGCCAGGCTTTTTAATTTGTACTTCTTTTCTTAATATAAATGTAGCAAAATAAAAACAGTAATTGCGTTTATTGTGAATGAAGAGAATGTTATACATATTTTCCACATAGGGGGCAGCAAAGAAGAAAGGGAGGAAGACTCCCAGTTAAAGAGGACCAGTTAGATGTTTTCTCAAGTTATGGCTAAAATGTTTTCCCTGTTAACTGGTGCAAATATTGATTTGGTTTGTCTCCTGGCTCCTGAGGGTTGTTGCACTTGAATGAGAGCTAATAAATTGTTTGACTTTTGTAATTAAACTTAAGACCCTGATTGAAGGGGGTTTTAGCTTCCCTGAAAATGTACTTTAAGTTAATCTGCTTAAGAGGAATTATCTATTTTTTATTAGCAAATGCAAAGGTTGTCTCTGCCTTTATCACTGATGATTTCTGCAGGACTAGTCATGACTCTTATGGTAATGTTAAACCTTCAAAAAATTACACTTGATCTTAGCCAAAAGGCTGAGAAGCGCTAAAACCTTCAAAAAATTATTTGGGGGATTTAAAAAATTCAGTTGTCAAAAATTTAGGTTTGACTCTTTACATTCATTATTGGCAAATTATAGGGGTTTTTTGTTGTTGTTGTTATTGTCTTGTTTTTCTTTCTTGATTCACCTTTTTTTTTGGTCTTGTTTAAGAAGCTGGAGAATTTTAGTGCTTTGAATGTTTGAAAAACATGCTAGTGACATGCAGGAGAGAATTATTTCTTGAAAAATTGTGACTTGGGGGAGGGAGTAAATTCCCAGGAATATTTAATGAATAAAATCATTCTAGGCAAATGTCTCAATATTGATTTGATTTAACTACATCTCTTTCATATATGACAATTATATAAATTATTATCATTGGAGCCCTATGTACGTAACAAAATTATTTAGGGTCATACTTGTGAATGAATCTCTAATGCCAATCTAATGTGTTAGATTAAATTTCTGTTCAATTTTTAAAAGTACACAGAATTGTATGTTAACAAGCAATAATAAATCCTGTTTTTAACTAAATAATACAATTATTATACTTCATGATCATGCATTCAACACCTTAGGTGGATATTGTAGAAATAAAAGTAGTAATGATCCCAATCAGTTTCTCAGAAAAAAAAAAGTTTCCATGACTACTTGAAAGAGAGACGTAGTAAGGATGAAAGACTAAAATGTTACTTCTAAAGTGGAAATTTTTAAGTTATTGACGATGCCTATCTTCAGCTTGGGCTCCAATCTGCATAACTATATTTTCAGTGCTACAGTTTGGGGATAGGAAGGAAAAGGCAAGTGCATGACACTCTAACACAGGAGTACTTAGACAGAAATGAAGGGTTGATGTATATTAGGATGATTTTGTGTGATGGCACCATCACTTGCAATAAATAATTGAGGCAAAAGTGAGGTTTGGAATAGAAGCATCTGGGTGCCTGCCCTGATTTCCATTTCTTTTTGCCTGCATGCACAGAGATACTGGCAAACAAGCCACGTGAATAATCCAGGGTCCACTCTCTCCCACTGCCCTTGTCAGAACTTGCAAAACTCCCTGAAGGCGCTGCCCTCGCAACAGTT